TAATGCAAACTTGCTTCGCAACCTGTGGTTTCTTCCGACGAAGAAAAAAAAAAATTATCGAACGTTTTATCGAACACATTTTTTATTGATATCGATCACGTGTCTATCGCGATACATATCGTTATCGTTTTATCGCCCAGCCCTACAAAGCCATATCACGCTTTTGCTTTTTAGTTCATTTGACAGTTACTTTGCCAAAGCAATTGGCGCAAAATACAGCGTGATTTGAAATTCACATTTTTTCAGTTTAATATTAAATTGTGGTAGGACAAATTAGATAATTGCAGTAGGAGTCTAGGTTATTAATGGGGAAACACTGCTGTCATAATTTGAGGTCTATAAATGTGGCTCTTCTGCATCTGGTCCTCAGGGAATCAGACATCACGAAGGAGCGCATTCAGAAGATCCTGGCGTCGGGGGCAAACGTGATTCTGGCCACCGGAGGCATTGATGACATGTGTCTGAAGTACTTTGTAGATGTGGGAGCCATGGCTGTGAGGAGAGTGCTCAAGAAGGACCTCAAACGCATCGCCAAAGCTACCGGCGGTCAGCTGTCTACACTTAAGCTTAGGTTTAGCCCTTCTTTTCTTGAAGGTGTTTTATTCTCAATGTTGGTGTTTTGACTTTCCCCCTACAGCCACTGTTTGCTCATCTCTGTCTAACCTGGAGGGAGAGGAGACGTTTGAGGTGGCCATGCTGGGTCAGGCGGAGGAGGTGGTGCAGGAGAATGTGTGTGACGACGAGCTCATCCTTGTCAAAAAGTGAGATCACGTTCCTTTTCCGTCATCAGAACCGGAAGGACAGAACGTATCACTGGATTCTGAAGATGTGTGTTTAGGAAAAGTGTTTAGCCAGTGTAGTGAAAGTCTGGCTCATTAAATCGCTTCTGGTTCCTTTTGGTCACTTCACTAGCATTATCCTGCAAATAAGCGCTACATCTTTTTATCAGAATAATCTGTACGCCTCAAGTTAAAGAGATGCCATTAAACCGCTTTTCCAAACACGGAAGATAAATCTCAAACTAAATTGGCACTGAAAGAAAAATGAGCTTGTGTGTAAAAAGTCACATTTTATTATTACATCCAGAAATCATGTAAAACAACATGTTTACAATGAATAATTATAATGAATGTCACTAGAATTTGTTTTATAAGCACCAAGCCCAAAAATGAATGATAGGTGTGTGGGAAATACGCTATACAAAAAAACTGGACGTCTCGAAGTTCACACTTAACTTTTACAGCACAAACTTATGCTAGTTAAATGTGAGGATAGAAGAAATTAAAGGCGCAAAACGCAAGTCTCTGAGTTTTTGCAGAACTACGCCCCCTCTGGCGACAAGCGGAACTGCAACCAATTCTGATTGTACATGTATCCAGCTTACGCTAAAGCATTACACATTTTACGCATCGTCATTTGTTGTCATACATAGATTGGCCGTATCAAACATTAGAGACTGGGCTATATCTTACCGTTTTATCAAGAAAAAAGCCAACTGAGGACCCCGTTTGAGACCAAGAGCAGACCGGAGATCTCTCCATTTGTTGAATGCCTTCCCGAGGTTGACTCTCGTCTTACTCCGACGCCTGTCTGACTCCAATTTGGACCTTTTGGTGGCACTAGACAAAATGTTTCTTTCCTTTACTTTACGTGAAGTTGGGGTTTGGAATGGAATTCAAGCCTGTCTCTTTGAATCCATCTTCTACCTTTGACGCACGAGTTGTCTTCGCTGATGCGGAGAATGGCGGCGCCGGCGAATACACAAACCTGCGAGACACAGCCTGGTGAGCGTGAACGCGCATGACGTCACTCCCAGTCTCAAATTCGAGCCCGAATCCCTCTTATATATTTTACTGTGCAGGATTATAGAGGCAATCTCAGTGCGCAGAGAAGGGCTCATTCAGCCCATCAGGCAGTTCTTTAAGCATGTATAGGATAGAAAAACAGGTATTTTTAACGTGAAAAGTTGCGCAATACACCTTTAAAATCAATGTGATAAAACATTTCTATTTGAACATACAGACCAGTAATGACTTATTAATTTTTTTCTTCATAACATTTAATGATATAAATATAGGGATCAGGAATGACTATAAAATAAGTCGTGGAATTGTAAAATGGCAATTTTCAGGCCTGAAAAAGTTTTGGAGAAAACTCTTTTCCCTCTTTGTATTCCAGCACAAAGGCGCGGACGTGTGCCTCTCTCATCTTGCGCGGGGCGAATGACTTCATGTGTGATGAGATGGAGCGCTCGCTGCACGACGCCCTGTGTGTGGTGAAGAGGGTGCTGGAGTCCAAGTCCGTGGTGCCAGGAGGTGGCGCTGTCGAGGCGGCTCTGTCCATCTATCTGGAGAACTACGCCACAAGCATGGTGAGAGCACAGCCCTTCCCAGCTGCTGGGATCAGCAAGTTCAAGTCAATAGTGTTTTGTAGCTGATATATAAATGTCTAAATGCAACAGGCAAGCGTTTATTGGTAGAATGAAGTTGAGACCAGTTTCTATGGTTTTACTGTGTTGGGCGAGAGTGTGTGTGTATGAACGCGCTCCCGTTATAATTGCTGCCGTGCCTGTTCGATGTCGTGTGCGGTTACGTGAGTGTGGAAAGAGACAGATAAACAGCTCTGCTGACAGCTGCATCCATCCTGCTCGAAACTAACACGCGTAGTCTATCATCGAGGCTTGTTAACCCTCACTAGGCCTGTGTGTGATCTGTTTCAGACTATTCACAATTGAGTGATTTGTCTGTAAACCTTTCTAGACAGACCTACTGTTAGCACTGAATTTCCATGAAGCTATACATCAGTGACATTTCAGCGTCTTTTATTTTATTGTTTTGGTAACACTAACAAATAGTTTACACTACAATAAGATTCAATAGTAACTAACAATTAGCAATACATTTGTTACAGTATTTATTCATCTTTGTTAATGTTAGTTAATACAAATACAGCTGTTCATGTTAGTTCACAGTGCCTTAAGTAATGTTAACAAATACATTTGATTTTAATAACGTATTAGTAAATGTTGAAATTAATATTAACTAAGATTAATAAATGCTGAAGAACTATTGTTCATTCTTAGTTCATGTTTACTAATGAACCTTATTGCTGAATTAAATTGAATAAACTGTTAAAACCACAATCCTGAAAAGAATAGTCAATGTTACAATGGAAACAGGAATTGTAGCAGAGTCCTTTTATTGTTCAATATTCTGGGGGGAAATCATGGTTACTGTTGTACTCTGTTCTTAATATACGGTAATTGTGCTTTTTAATCATTTGCATGTGAAGTTGTGCGTATGCGTGTAACTATTGTGTGTGTGTTTGTAGGGTTCCCGTGAGCAGCTGGCTATTGCTGAATTTGCTCGCTCTCTGCTCATCATTCCTAAAACCCTGGCAGTGAACGCTGCGCAAGACTCCACCGACCTGGTGGCCAAACTCAGAGCCTTCCACAACGAGGCTCAGGTCAACCCTGAACGCAAGAACCTCAAATGGTTAGTGTCGCTCTCTTCTCATCACACAGGGAACCTGTTCAGGTCTTAGAAATACGACTGCACTGTCAGACAGCAGACAAACATGCAATCAGGAATTAAAATGGTAGTGTTTAGAAGTACGGTTTTGGTTTACTTGCTTGAAATGGCTTTCAAATGGTCTTGTAGATTGATGGGATTTGTTCAGACAATAATCTGGAAGTTATGTGGCTTATTATGGATTAAACCGAGAGCCAATGCAGTTTAAAAATAGATGGATTACTCTGTTTAACCCTGTGTGTGTGTGTGTGTCTGCTCTCAGGATCGGGTTGGACCTGGTAAATGGAAAGCCAAGAGACAACAAGCAGGCGGGAGTGTATGAACCCACAATGGTCAAAACCAAGAGTCTGAAGTTCGCCACAGAGGCAGCCATCACTATCCTCCGAATCGACGACCTTATCAAGCTCTACCCGGACCAGAAAGAGGGCGGGCCGTCCTACCAGGATGCTGTCCAATCAGGCTCTCTGGAGGATTAAAGCCCAGCTGCATCAAATCATCAGTTGGCTGGTTCTGGTGTCACTCCGCTCAGCTTTGTATTTATATTTGGATCCAACAGATGAGCTGTTAGTGTAGAATGTGCACTTTGTTTGCGTTACTTATTTTTTTGCTGTTAACATGGCTATTTGTCATGTGTAATGTAACAAATGTTCCTTTTTCTGCCATTTCAAAAAAATTAAAATAAACCAGAATGGTGTAAAAAGGAAAATTGTTTGGCATTTAGTGGTTAAAGATATTAAAACCATGTATTGTGTGAATCAAAACCGCAGAAGCTGATGCTCATTTATGAATTAGTGCTTATGTAATTTAATATTTTAGCTGAATGGACTTTATTAGACAAAGGCATTTAATATTAAATAAATACAAATACAATAAGACCAAAACAATCCCGCCAGTTATGAATTAACACCAACTCATTACAAGCTATAAATGTGAGTTACAAGTTTCCATGCAGAAAAACTGGATGGTGATTTACACTGCCAGGCTTTAAAAAGCATAACAGACCATATGATTTATGTCATTTTATTCTAAAAACTTTGAAGCTGTTTATTTTCTCAGAGGTAGTGTGAATCACCATCCACTTTTCTTCTATGGAAAACAGGCTCTTCTCCAAGTAACCGGTGACATTTTTCATATTTGGTGAACTCTTCAAGAACTTAAACAAAAACCGTACTGAATGTCGAGTTGTTTTGCTTTTCAGTAGTTGTCTACTTGGCCTCAGCTGGTGATGTTGGCTTTTAAACATAAACATGGCCTGAGCATGATGTTACAAAGCCTACAGTCTCACATTTTGGCAATGAAAACAGAAATATGCCGCATCCAATTTTATCTTGTGAAAAAAAGGCATTTCCTGTAAAGATTTGTGTTTGCAAGTACTCACCATGAACTTTCCATTAGGTCACAAATATGAGCAGTTATAAAGTTTGCAAGTAGACCGTCCCAGCGGTCTTGAGGACTTACTGACAAGTTGGATATAGTTACTTGAACTTGAATCGACCTTTTTCAGGCCAGTTTACACTGACTAGCATCTCCATGGATCCAGTGGCATATCTGGGCATACTTGCTGGGTGTTATTCTGACTGCCACATTATAGTCCTTCTGTATCCCATCGACATCCACCCACTGGTGTCCAGAGAACACACCAATTACCTTCCTCTTCCACTTCCCTTTTCCCACCTGGTCTCGTAGCCTTACGTACACACCCGCTCCACTCGACCCCTTCTGCGCATCACAGTACTGGTACATCAGGTCGTTAGATTCCTCCGAGACCGAACAGAAGCGGTAGACCACTTTCCCTAATTGGTCTTTATCAAAACTAGAGAAGTGGATTCTTCCAGCTGGGATGTCCTTGACCACTGGAACGACTCCTAACTCCATGAACTTCATCTTATGGGGTCGTTTGAGCTCCAGAAGGGCGTAATCGTAGTCGGCTGAGACCTCATTGCCTGCTCTCCTTGTCCAACCTGTTGGCACTCGAGTCAGTTTGACTCGTGTCCACCGGAAAACTGGTTGTCTGGACTGGTCTGAATCTGTGTCTCGCCTAAAACGGTCCTTCCCTTTCCTTCTGTTGTCTCTAACTTTTTGAAGTAGTTGTCCTTCAGTGGCTACATCTCCTTCACCTTCTCTCCTCTTTTCTCCTCTCCTCCTGCCTCCTTGTTGGCGTCCTCCCCTGCGTTTGGAGCGAAGCTTCATGATACCCACTCGGAGCCTCTTGGTCCCTTTCAAATAGTCTTGGCCATCATGGACACAGTGGGCAGAAGTCAGTACATGTCTTGGAGAAACCAAGATGCCTGAGCAACCCGTGGAGAGCTTCACTGAGGCAGAAAAGGGGTAATTGGTGGTGAAGTGTTTATCTGTGATCACAAAGCGTCCATCCATGCCATATACCTGCCGTTTTCTGCGTTTAAGGTATCCTGTCTTACAGACCACGGAAGAGGTCGTGTTTCTTAAATCAGGGACCCCTTCCAGTTTTATTTTGGTGAAGATGCGCGTTCCATTCTCGTAGATGGTTTCATAAGACAGTAGTCGTTCCAGCTCAGCAGGCCTGGGTTCTGGCAGCTTTCGTTGGCACTCAATCCCGCACATCACTCCTGGCTCACTTACGTCGTCAGCAGTGAATTCTGGGCTTTGAAGCCTCACTGTGCTTTCGTCCATGATCACTGGGACTTTAATCTCTGTCAAGTGGCAGTCGTCTTCATAGTTTGTGGTAGAAGCACCAGTGGAGACCAAAGATACAGCCACAGCCAATGCAGTCAGTCTGAACAACAAAGATGGAGGGCCTGTCATTTTGCTCTACCTGAAGATAAAGAGACAAGAGTTCAGGGGCCAGTTGCATAAACATAACAATTCGCCTTTGGCTAAGCCACACCCTAGAATGTAGATTGACCAATCACAGCGCAGCCAAGAACGAGCTCCCACAGAGGTCCGACACTTTTTCACAGCGCTCCATTGACTTTAACACAGGCGTCTCATATTTTTGGTCTCGGCAGGCTATTACCGTCGTAGTTTTATCAAAAATATGGTTAAACGTTGTGCCTGGGGCATTTGTAACACAGATACGCGTTTCCCAGAGAGGTCGGAGGGGGTGTCCGTTTTTTTCCCTTCCCAAACCGAAGTCAAATCCTGACAAGTGTCGTCTAGCACACGCTGCTAATAAATACAACGTTATACTCGCGTAGTCCGTTTGCGTTGTAATAACGATTATAGAAGTGAATAGAGACCTACCCAGCTTTGCATGAACAGTGTTGCTCCGTGATATTGTTAGTCCCAGCCTCCGTCTCCATTAGTAGGATATGCGGTGGTTCATTTTTTGACTGTGACCGGTATGCTTTTGCCTCTATTTGGATGCCTTGTTGTTCCTTGCGTTTCACCTGTATGTCGTGAATATAGCCTTCGAGCGTATATTGCAGCCCTTTTGCCTACTTCTATCGGACACTTTATTTGCTGCTTTATAAAAGTTTGATAAAATTTCAGCAGGAAGAGCTGCCACAGCATAAGCCATGTTGATACCAGAGCCCAGATGAAGTTTGTTTGTCGGACGTAGCAACAGTAACTAAGGGGGGTGGGGCTTAGCCAAAGGCGAATTATGTTAAGACTGTCTAATGCTGCGTTCCAGGCAGGTTTTTGAGCACGTAAATCACGACTTCAAACCACGACTCACGACTTTGTAGCGTTCCAGGCCAGTCACGCCAAACTACCTGAGCGCAAGGAATTGTGGTAGCTAGATGTAAACAAACCATTGTTGTTTTGTATGGTTTCGCGGGCTATGTGACGTCAGAGCTCGTAACTGGGAGTGCATCGATCTAGTACGAGTTCACGGGTGGGAAGTCACGGGTTTGACTGCCGTTCCAGTGCACTTTCACGGGTATAAGGTTGGAAAAACACGGGTTACAGGTTGCCTGGAACGCGGCATTAGGGTGTATTCACACCAGGAAAGTCCGATAGTTCACTTGCTTTGGTCCGGACCAAATACTTTTTTTTTTTTTTTTTTTTTTTTTTTTTTGGTACGGTTCGCTTTCACACTGCTCTTTTTGCAAGTGAACCAAAATTTGTAAACAAAATCACACGTGTGCTAAGGTCGTCCATTCATTGGATAGGGATTCTCAAGTAGGGAAATCAGGAAGTGCAAAAAAGGCTCAGCATGGAGATATTTCGTACTGCAATATTTGCTATTTTACTAATTTTGTGTTATTCTGTACAAACGCAATATGAAGAAACTGCGCAGAAGACGGATAAGGTATAAAGTTTTCATTCATAGAGAGGGGCTAGTTCACACATTCAAATAATGAGATTCTTATTGTATATGCTGCTAACAAGTGCTGTCAATGGTAACGCTTGCAATTAGGTTTGTCCAGTTTAACGCAGCATCATCCTTGTATTGTACTATCGATACATTATATGAACTGCAAAAGCTTTTTTTGCATCTATGCGCGATTAGACTAAAGAGAACGCGCTGTATGTGAATGCCCTGATGCACACACTCATTCATTCATTCCATTCCAATGACGCACACACACGGCGCGCAGAAAGACGCGCAACAGTATTGTGTGGCCAGACAGCCCGCCGGAATGGGATTCTCTTTCGCACTTGAACAACAATAACACAAACCATTATGCCAAAATCTCCGACTACGGAAGCCTGTTAACTCAAAGGCGCAGTGCTTTCTTGCAATTGGGTCGGTTCATGTTCACACCGTAAACGAATCGTACCAGAGTTCGTTTGGAACCGTACCGAGACCACCTCTTCAGCTGGGTCTCGGTTCGGTTGTTTGGTCCGCACCCGAGTTCGATTGCTGTATTCACACCTGCCCAAAAGGTCCGCACCAAGGGGGGAAACGAACTAGAGTTCGATTCAATCGAACCAAACAAGGCAGGTGTGAATACACCTTAAGGGTGTGTTCACACTTGGCATGTTTGGTTCATTTAAAACAAACCATGGTGCGATTGCTCTGTTAGTGCGGTTCAATTGAATAAGTGTGAACGCTGCCGTCTGAACCCTGGTGCCACCAAAACCGCACCGGAGTTTGTTTGGAAGTGGACTGAGACTCATCTTTTCAGTGTTTCGGTCCTCTTGACCGAAACACTGAAAAGATGAGTCTCAGTCCACTTCCAAACAAACTCCGATGCGGTTCGACTGAAATAAGAACTCAACACACACCAAAAACAGGACATGATGTCACCAGATGAGACCCTAAAAGGACAAAATGCTAAAGCATGCCTGTTTTTTTTCTCATCATAGTCGTGATGTGTCCCATAACAGTTCAGTTCAGGATCAGAACCGGGTCTCCTCACAGCAGATCTTCATTTGTGTGACGGAGGGATTCCTGGCGCTGTTTTATTTAATTTATCCGATTTTTAAGCTCTTCATGAGTTCTCAGCGGGTCAAAATACCACATATGTAGCTACGCACATACAACGAGCGCATCTATCCCAGAATACAGCACTGTTTTGGATGTTTGGTTTTGTCACGAAATATACTTAATATAAGCCGACCAATCAGGTTGTGAAAATATCCTTATGCCTTTAGGTTCGCTATTTTTAGGTTCAGTGTTAAAATGCCAATGTGAACGCTAACGGACCAGGACTAATGTTTGTTTTTTTGGTCCCGAACCAAGTGAACTGAACTACAAGTGTGAACACACCCTTAAGAACTAGTATGTCCAACTAGCAGTAACTCAGGAGTAATTAATCGTAATATTCGGTTTCGAATTAGACCAATCTACGTTTTTATGTAACTGACTTAAAAAGTTATGAATAGTAAGACTAGTCTCGGCAGTTTAAGCAACTGGCCCCAGGAGTGAGGCTAACACAATGTTTCGTCAACTTCATGATCAAACACCAAGGTAACAGTCCAGGCCATTGAACAGAGTAGACTTCAATACTGTATTGGCGTCTACTCTGACGAAGCAGGTTTTTACACTTTGTCACTTCATGTGATCGATCAGATTGCTGATTCCATTTACAATAATATACTCTTTATATGGAAAGTAACTAGATCACTTCTGGTAGTGATAATGTGGGGATACAAAATGATGATGCAATTGATATGGCTAATGAAAATTAAAAACAGGGAGGTGGTTACTTCAACAATTGGAGTATAAAGGCAATAGAGGTCTGCTTTGCTGAAGAAAGACACTCCCATTGACTGCTCTCATCCCAGGAACTGCTATGGTGAAGTAGTGCCATTTTGGGAGGAGTAAAATTCACAGGTGGCTTGAACAACCATGCATTTACACTATAGGATCATACCACCTCTGGAGATCATAAGAAGATGAATGTTAGAAAATGTACCAAGTGTAAATACTGAACCTCCTAATGGTAGTTCTTGTAGCTCAACTCGATTGTGGCACTATGTCAAGTCAAGGGTGCAAATACCATGAAATAAACAAAATTGACAACATGTTCTCAAGAAAACAAGAGGCAAAACAGAAATACTTTACATTTATGGTATGGAAAGATAAAAAATAACTTTTGCTGTGTTAGTGCTTTGCTGAATTTATTGAGTAATGCATTGCACAGAAAAGAAAGAATTGGTGTGCCATTTATGTATTTAATATGCAAGTACAGTTCTGGTTTTATTGGCACCCCTGAAATGTGAGTACAGAATTTACTCAGAAAATCTTTTGTATAATGATTATAAATCCAATTTTGTATGATCAGAATATTTTTAAGACATGTCGAAAGTTATTGAACAACAACAAAAGAAGGCGTTAATATAGTGACATTAAAAATACAGACAAAACATACCCTGGACACAATTATTGGCACCCTTTACTAATATTTGTTTGCAGAACCTTTGGCAACAATGACAGCCTCTAAACGTTTCTTGTAGCCATACAGAAGCTTCTTACACTTGTCTGCTGGTGTTTTCTGCCACTCTTCCATTGCTATGCATTCAAGCTCTCTAGAGAGTCCTTTTTGCAAAGGCCGATTTCCACTCTTCCCTAAGTTTTTCAATGGGATTTAGGCCAGAAACACTCCTTTTCAGCCATTCTTTGGTGCTGTTAGATGTGTTTTGGGTCGTTGTCCTGCTGAAAGAGTCACATCTAACAGCCTCAAACCTAACACATTTCACTTTAAAATGCTTCATCATTCCTTTGATACATTCAATGCCTTCAGTACCAGAGGCAGCAAAGCCGCCCCACAGCATGAGAAGGGTGTTTTATTTGTTTCCTTACATGCTTCATTCTGCCACCTGTAAACAAACTAATGCACTGCGTTTCCAAAGAGCTCTGCTTTGGTTTCATCTGTCCAGAACATTATCCCAGGCAGACTGTGGCTTATCAAGATTTAGCAAATATTAGTATTGTCTTTTTGTTCCTGTCTTTCAATAGTGTTGTCCTCCTTGGCCTTGGCTGAAACCAGCACAGGTCGACCAGTTTCTGCTTGGCTCCACGTCCTGGAAGCGTCTTGACAGTTTTGTGACTGTGAAACTTCTCGATAACATTATAAACTGTTAAAACAGGGATTTCAAGATCTTTGCCAAATGCATTGTAGCCTTTGGATTTGTTATGTTTCTGAATAATAGCATTGCTGATGCTCTCAGACAGCTCTTGTCTCCATCATTGTGAAAAAGAAACTGGAAACAATCAGCCCCTTTTCATGTAGTAAACCCATCATTGATTGGTTAAACCAGGTCATGCCAACAGGTGAGTTTTATTTTGGGGATTTTATTATTATCTTGTTTAAGGAACTAATTAATCAAAAGTGTGCTAATAATTCTGTCCATCCTCTTTGTTGTTTTTCAATAACTTTGGACCTGTTTTATGATTATACATAAATTGGTTCAGTTG